TAGTCCATGCTGCGTGGGAGGCTGAGGCAGGAGGATCGCTTGAGCCCAGGAGTTTGGGGTTGCAGTGATCTATGATGACACCACCGTACTCTAGCCTGGGGGAACAGAGCGAGACACTATCTCAAAAAATAAAAATAAAGAATTAGGCAATGTCAATATCACTTAATCCCATTCACAGTGGTCTTCTCCCTTGGTCCCTCACTGTCTATTCCCCGTGCGGCAGGCAGAGGGATCCTGTGAAAACCTATGCCGCATCCTGTCGCCCTGCTCGGAACTGTGCAGCGGCTCCAGTCTCACTCAGAGCAGAAGCCCGATCTGTCCCTGCCCCCACCTCCTCCATTCTGCCTGCCTGGCTATGCCCCAGAGCCACCCTTCCGTGGTCTTTGTACTCGCTGCTCCCTTGGACTGGAACGTGTTCCCCCACATTCCCGCGTAGCTGGAGCTCTTTTTTCATTCAGATCTGTGCTCAAATGTAACCTTATCATAGGGATCTTTCCTGAGCTGCCTTCCTAGAAACCACCTTCTGCCCCCCAGGCTGGGCCAGCTGTCCCCTCTAGGCTCCTTCATTCCAGCCCTGCCCACTCTGGGTTATCACAGTCCGGGGACAGGTCTGTGTCTGCCATTGGACTGTGAGCTCCTGAGGACAGGATCAGGCTGATTCGACCATAGATGTGTTCCCTAAACTGCCCAGCATGGGCGAAGGGGCTGCAAATTTTCTCAGTGAAGTAAGGGAGGAAGATGAGCCATGTATCTAGAAATATATAATCTCCTATTTGGAAGAGGGGTCCAGGCAGTAAGAACAGCAAGTGCAAAGGCCCTGAGGCAGGACTGTGCTTGGCATGGTCAAGGAATAACAACAGTGAGCAAAGGGTCAAGGGGAGGGAGGAGGAGTCAGAGATGTGACAGTAGCCTTGTAGCCACTGTAAGAACTTTGGCTTTTGCTCTGGTTAAGGCAGGAGCCATGGAAGGTTCTGAGGGATGTGATGGGATTCAGTTCTAACGGGACCCCTCTCACCACCGGTGGGGGGCTGGGGCGGGCAGACTGTGGAGAGAAGATAGGGCCTGGGAGGCCAGTGGGGAAGTGACTGCAGTAGACCAGATGGGAGGTGATGATGGTGGCTGGATCTAGGACGGGCTGAGTAGGGATAGTGAGAGATCATGGATTCAGGATGCATTTTTGAAAGTGGAACCAACAAGCTTTGCTGATGGATTGGATGTGGGTGGGAGAGAAAGCAAGGAGTCCAAGGGCCCCCTGTCCAGCTCTCTGAGATGTCCTTTGCCAGAGTGATCACCAACCCCCCCGCCCCCGCCGCACACCAAGATTCCCCTGACAACCTTCAGAGGCCTTTTTTTGGGGGAGCTTCATTCCACGGGCGAGGAACCAGAGCAGAGAGGCTGCTTAGAGAGTTGCAGTAACCTGCCCAGATCCCTGTAGGATTATGACACCCCCCGACCCCCACCTGGTCTGCACTCCCATCCTCTATGCCCAGAATGGTCAGCTGAGGCCTGCCACCTGTTCTTGTATGGCACAAAAGCTAACAGTGTCTTTTCCTTTTTTCTTTTTTTGGGATAGGGTCTCACTGTGTTGCCCAGGCTGGAGTGCAGTGGCATCATCACAGCTCACTGCAACCTCCAACTCCTGGGCTCAAGGGATCCTTCCACCTTAGTCTCCCAAGTAGCTGGGACTACAGGTGCATGCCACCACCCCTGTCTAAATTTAAAAAAAAAATTTTTGTGGAGATGAGGGTCTTGCTATGTTGACCAGGTTGCTCTTGAACTCCTGGGCTCAAACCATCCTCCCACCTCAGCTGCCCAAAGTCCTGGGATTCCAGATGTGAGCCACCACAATGCCCAGGCTCCATTTTTAAAGTGGTTCAAAAACTTAAAAAAACTTTTTTGTGTGTGTGAAAATTATATATTTAAATTTCAGCATCCCAGTAAGGTTATGAGCACAACCATGTTCATTTGTTTATGTATTGTCTACAGCTGCTTTCCTGGTACTGTGGCAGAGTTTTGTGCTTTTTTTGTTTTGTTTTGTTTTTGAAACAGAGTCTCGCTCTGTTGCCCAAGCTCAAGTGCAGTGGCGTCAGCCTAGCTCACAGCAACCTCAAACTCCTGGGCTCAAGCGATCCTCCTGCCTCAGCCTCCCGAGTAGCTGGGACTACAGGCACGTGCCACCATGCCCGGCTAATTTTTTCTATTTTTAATAGAGATGGGGTCTCGCTCTTGCTCAGGCTGGTATGGCAGAGTTGAGTAGTGGCGGAGACCCTATAGCCCAGGAAGCCTAAAACATTTACCGTCTGGCCCTTTACAAAGAACGTTTGCCGGCCTCTGCTATATGTTTTGCCAAGAAGGATTCTATTTGGGCCACCTGTGGGGGTGTCAGATCAGTAAGACTTGGCAGCTAGTTATGCAGAGTGGGTGACAAGGTTCAGATCCCTGAGGGGGAGAGCTATTTCGAACATTTTTTTAAAGGGCATGGAAGCATTACCATATGCCTCTTCCTTCCTAAAATTAAAATTTAAAAATTATTTTGAATACACAAATATATGGTACAGAAAGGTGCAAAAAGGCAGACACCCCTCTCCAGTCTTCCAATTAGAAATGCTAAATGACTATGCTTTTGCTGTTTCCATGGAAACTATCGAATTGCTCCTTTGGCTATCCTAATGGACAGCCCTGGCCACAAGGGATTTGAATTTCTGTTTCCCCACAGCTTCACCAGCACCATGCGTTATCAACCTTTTTTTTTTTTTTTTTTTTTTGAGACAAGAGTCTCACTGTGTTGCCCGGGCTAGAGTGCGTTATCAACATTTTTGATCTTTCCCAATCGAGGCGAAGAATGCTTTGGCATTGTAGCTTTAATTTGCATTCTGCTGGTTCTCAGTGATACTTGGATATTTCATAGCCATCTTTATTCTCCTTTGCCTCTCTGTGACTTGTTTACCTGCATCAGCGGTTCAGGGGACATTTGGTAATTTATGGATACTTTAAAACAACAACAACAACACAACTTGATTGAAATGTATTTCACATGCCAGACCATTCACCAATGGAGACATTTTTGGTTGTCACCAGTTGAAGGGGGGACGCTACTGGCATCTAGGGATGCTGCGGAAACCCTCCACCTATGCACTGGACAGCCCCGCGCAACACAATAAAGAATTTTTTTTTTTTTTTTTTTTGAGACAGAGTCTCACTCTGTTGCCCTGGCTAGAGTACTGTGGCGTCAGCCTTGCTCATAGCGACCTCAAACTCCTGGGCTCAAGCAATCCTACTGCCTCAGCCTCCAAAGTAGCTAGGGCTACAGGCATGCACTACCATGACCAGCTAATTTTTTCTGTATAGTTTTAGTTGTTCAGCTAATTTCTTTCTATTTTTAGTGGAGATGGGGTCTTGCTCTTGCTCAGGCTGGTCTCGAACTATTGACCTAGAGCGATACTCCTGCCTCCTCGGCCTCCCAGAGTGCTAGGATTAGAGGCGTGAGCCACCGTGCCGGCCTGATTTTTCTATTTTTAGTAGAGACGGGGTCTCGCTCTTGCTCAGGCTGGTCTCAAACTCCTGAGCTCAAATGATCTGCCCTCCTCGGCCTCCCAGCATGCTAGGATTACAGGCGTGAGCTGCCACGCCCGGCCACAATAAAGAATTATCCAGCCCCAAATGTCAATAGTGCCCAGATGGAGAACCTCTGCTCTACACCCTTGGCCTGTGTCTCTGCAGGGTCCTGTCTTGTAAGGAGCGCATAGTTGAGCTGCAGAGACAGCAACAGTCAAGTAAAAGGACAATTTTAATCCCCTGCTTTCTGTGCCTGGCCCCGGGGTGCCCAATACTTGTCAGTCACCTCAGTTAATCCTCACCAGGCTTCAGAGAGGAAGGGACTTTAGCCACAGGTGTGAATGTACAGCCTCCTGAAACCTAGCTCTTTCTCTCTCAGTTCTACCCACAAGGCCAGTGTTTCCCTGTTATGCACTCAACATGACAGCGTAGTGCTTAATGTGTTCCAGGCATGTGCTAAACAGCACACATTGCTTAGGTCGTCTAGTCCCTAAGCCAATCCTGTGGAGTAGAGCTCCGTTTTACAGCTGGGGCAACAGAGGCACAGAGCAGTTAAGCAGTTTACCCCAGGTCACACAGCAATGCTACTAATGTCAGCAGTAACCATTATGGAGAACGTCGTATGTGCTGGTCGTGTCCGGCAGGAGCCTGTTGAATCCTGATAACAGCATAGGCAGCAATGTCTCCATACAGCGGAAGCAATTTCTCTATACAATCGGTGCGGTTTCTCTATACAATGGAAGAGAAAACTGTCTCTTGATCGAGGTCACACAGCTAAGCGGACCAGTCCATTCATTCATTCTGTTTGGAGCAGGAGCGGTATTTTCTGAGCCTGGACTTTGTGGCGTGCAGTGTTCTAGGAGCTGGGGAATCCAGCAGCGGGAGAAGCCAGGCGGCGACCTTGAAGCCAGCCGACTGAGGGAAAGGAGATACAGGCAGACACGGGGACTGGCAAGTGCAAGAGCCCAGGAAGGGACTGCCAGCCATCGCGCCCGCGGACCAGCGCGGAGGCCAGCGTGGCCTGGGGAAGAGAGCAAGCGTGGGGCTCCACGAGGGTGCTGGCAGGATCCAGAGCCTTCCGGGCCTTCAAGGCTGTGGTGAGGACTTTGGTTTTGCCTCTGAGCAAAACAGAAGCCTCAAGAGCGCTCTGAACAGAGGAGGTACGTGATCTGAGTCAGGTGTTGACAGGGGCCTCTGCCTGGGGTGGGGTGCAGACCAGGGGGGCGAAGGTGGAAGCAGAGAACTCAGTGCGGAGTTCACTGCAGTAGTCCAGGCAGGAAGTGACGGTGGCTGCATCAGGATGCTGGCAGTGGTGCGTGTGTCTGCGTGTGTGTGTGTGTGTGTGTGTGTGTGTGTGTGTGTGTGTGTGTGTGTGAGAAGTGTTAGGATGTGAATGAATATCTAGTTTCCCCTTAGCCTTTCTTTGTCATTTATGACCTGTCATTTACGAACTTTGTATTTTTGAAGACTCCAGGTTAGTTTTCTTTCTTTTTTTTCATAGAATGTCCCTCAATTTGAGTTTCCTCATCATCATATCTAGATAATCCATTTTTGGCAGAAATTCCACAAAGCGGTGCCCTGTCCTTCTCGGTGTCCCATTACGGAAGATGTTGGCTTTGATCGCTAAGTTAAGGGGGTGTTCACCTGGCTTCTCCACTGTAAATTACTGCTTGCCCTTTACAGCAAATAAATATCTTGTGAGGAGGTACTTTAAGACTATGCAGATTCCGTGTATCTCATCAAAGTTCCATCCACAAATTTTTGCATCAATTTTTAACTTTCCAACTCCATTATTCCCTTTATGTTTATTTACTTGCCATTCCACAGTAATGGCAAGGAGGAGGCTGAGAATTGCCACAGTAATGGCAATTCCACGCTGGGAGGCCGAGGCGGGCAGATCGTTTGAGCTCAGGAGTTCGAGACCAGCCTGAGCGAGGCCCCGTCTCTAAAAAAAAAAATAGAAAGAAATTAGCTGGACAACTAAAACTATATAGAAAAAATTAGCTCCTTTACTTACTTATTTATTCATTTATTTATTTACAATCAGTGTGGACTCTGGATTTCCCTTTTATCCAATGGGTTGTAATCTGTAATTATCATTCTTTTATTATTCAAATCGTTTCAGATTTGGCCAGTGGCAGCCCTTGCAAGCTGGCTACTGTGTGAGAATCTGTTTGGAAGATAGGATTTCCTGAAGGGTTGGATGGGCTGTGTGTGAGAGGGAGGAGGCTGGGCTTCCTTCTTTTGGCCAATAATTGACCAGAACTGAGGATAAAGCTGTGATAAAAGCAGACAAAAGTTCCTGCCTTCATGGGGCTCCTGGTCTTGTGCAGGTGGCACTTTGTTTTTGGCCCAAGCCACTGGGGGGAGGCATGGGGCCAATTTTAAGGGGAATCAGAGTTTTGGCTGGGTTAAGTGGAGACGCCTGACAGATTGGCCCCTGCCCCCACTCCTCCCTCCTCCTTTATCCCCCTCCCCATTTAACGGCTTCCCACTCTTTTTCTTCACTCAGCAGCCAGGACAATGCAGACTGCCCTGACCATTCCTGTGCCTGTGCTCCGGCTCCCCCGGGGCCCTGATGGCTTGAGCCGCGGCTTTGCCCCCGATGGACGCAGGGCCCCCCTGAAGCCCGAGGTTTCAGGAATCCAGGATTGTCCCATAGATCAAGAATCTCCGGAGTCCCAGGAACAGCGGGCCCGAGCCACCCTTCGGGAGCGCTACCTCCGCAGCCTGCTGGCCATGGTGGGTCGTCAGGTGAGCTTCACGCTGCACGAGGGTGTGCATGTGGCTGCCCACTTTGGAGCCACCGACCTGGACGTGGCCAACTTCTACGTGTCACAGCTGCAGACTCCCATAGGCGTGCAGGCTGAGGCGCTGCTCCGATGTAGTGACATTATTTCATACACCTTCAAGCCATAAAGACATTATTGTGTTCACCTGTCTGCCTGAGGCTTAGCCACTGTATCCCACGCCTCCAAATGTTCCTGAGCCAGGAACTCTGGGCCCCCTAGAGTTCCGAGCTCCCCTGGAATTTTGGGCCAGGCTCCAAGCAACTGTGGATTCCTGAGACCTCCAGGATCTAGTCAGTAAAATTCTGCAACCCTAGGAATTCTAGATCCTGTTGAAAGGAATGCTCTACCTCACAGAACTCTGAACTCTACAGAAATATGGGCCTGATGCCATTTCCTGAAGACTGGGGTGTGGCGGCGGGAGAATGAGGGAAGGCAAATTGCAGAGAAGTTGTTTATTGACGAGATTGCAAAATTCAACCACCCTGAAGATACTCCCCAATGTTCCCCTCCTGCTAAAGAATCAATTATCCCAGGAAAATTAGACTCCCGTTTTTTTTGTTGTTTGTTTTTGTTTCATGTATACCCACGTGGATGGAGTCATATTTATGGGCTGGTAGGGTGGTTATCTAAGGGCTGAATCCGGTGGAGCTGGGCCAAGTAGGGGAGGAGACCAGATAAACGTGTAGGGAGGGGACAGCCGCTAGTCTCCGGGAATGGCTGGAGCAACCTGCATGCCAGGATTGGGAGATGAGGACTTGATTTCATTTTGGGGTGGGCGGACACCCGCCTTCACAAAGCGAGGGGCGTGGCTCGTACTGGGTCACATGGTTATGCACAAGCTCTCTTCCCGTTACCCCACCTCTGGGCGGTGTAGACTGCGCACGAGAGATAGCAGATTCGCTTTCCCCTCACTGTGGTGGATGGTCAGACCCTGTGCGGCGGCGCCACTGAGAAAAGGCTGAGGATTAGTGGTTGAAGTGAAGCTTCACCTTTTCCCCATTTCGCCCCAGCCTCGTAGCGGGGCCGTCGATGTCACTAGCTTCGCTTAGCTCCTTGTTATGAGTAATCTTTCAGCAGATCGTTTAAAAAGAAAGTAGTTTCTGCCCCCTTCTGTAGTCCCTTCAAGTTCAGAATGCAAGTGAAGCCTTACACTAAGGAGAGGTAAGGTCTGTGTCGTCGCAGTCGCGAAAGTGCGGCGGCCGAAGATGTTGACTGGGACCAGCGCTTAGCCTCAGCCGCCATCCGCCCGTTCACAACGCCGCCTCTGGCGAGTCCGCGGCCCAGCCCTCGAGTTGCCTTGGCAACCACGTGCTCGCTCCGCCCTCTATCCCCTTTTACGGGTTCAGCCCCGCCTTTCCCGGGTCGCCGGACGGACAGCGTGGCGAAAGTGCGGAGTTGGATATTCAGCGAGCGAACGAGCCCTGGGGGCGTGGCTCGGGCTCGCGCAGGTTCACATCCCGTCCCGGTGATCTGCCTTCATCACCAGTGTTTTGGTTGGCAGATTCGTCTCTCGCCTTTGGAATTTCTTCCTTCCCCTAGTTTTTTTTTTTTACCCCTCACGGGTTCGTATTAGTTTTCTTTCTTTTTTTTCATAGAATGTCCCTCAATTTGAGTTTCCTCATCATCATATCTAGATAATCCATTTTTGGCAGAAATTCCACAAA